GGAATGTCTCGATGAACTCCAACCACTTAGCATGTCTTCGCTTAAGTGTGGTCTGACCCTTAAGGTGTTTCAATGTTTCTTATGCAACTCCAATACAAGGTCAGAAGATAAAGTCAGATCATAAGTCCCGACGGTCAATGCAGCAACTTTTGCTCTATTCCCGATACAGAACTCTACTTTTCCCTTCGCCAATTGTCTACTTCCTCGCAGTCCCTGCACATTTGCACAAATGTGCGAGGCACATCCGGTATCCAATACCCATGATATAGAAGTACACAAGTTAGCCTCTATAATGAAGATACCAGAAGTTCAAGCTTCTGCAAGCTTCTTCTTCCTCTGATCTTGCAGGTAGAGTCTGCAATTTCTATACCAATGCCCAACAGCATGACAGAAATAACTCTTCCTTTTTGGGTTTGGTCTTAGGCTTTGATGTAAGCCCCGAACTCGTGGATATAGGCTGGCCCGAACAACGCAATCACCGGCACAAGTATTGGCACTCGATCTCACGTGTTTCGGCTAAGGATGTTGGATGGAGGGGGATGGGAATGTTAGCTCAATCACCGGCCTTGTGAGGCACTCGAATTCAAGCTAAGATTCAGTGGATGAGATGGAGATAAGGATGAAAGGTTTTCGGACAAACCGAAAGCTGGCTCGGACACACCGAAGCCCTTCGTCGGACACACCAACGGGGATAACGGTTTGGAGATTCAAACTCAACAAACACAGCAAGCTTAAGCTCGAAAATGGCAATAGATTTCTTAGGTAATGAGTTCTGAAAACTTACAAGGATAAATAGCAATTTCAAACATTTCCAACAGCTCTTAGCATTCAAAGCTAGATGAGCATGCAAGCTAGGTAATTAATGCTCTCTTAAGTACACAATATAGCTGTTGGATAATGACATAATTCTAATGTGTTTCTTCAGCAACATCATGGACCGAAATCTTCAATAAGTGGCGTGCATGGGCTGCTCCAAGACGGGCTGGGCTCATGTCCTTGGAACGAAGTTCGTCCATCATGTCGGAGACAAACAAGGTGATGCGTTCGCGAGGGGCACGCGCCTTGGCTCGAGTAAGGGGTGGATCGGGCCTGTGGTTTGGGCGTGTATGCCTTGGCCTTGGCTCAACTAGAAGTTCCCCATCACTATTGAAGATATGCTCGGCATTAGGCAGCTCCTTGCGTTCCAAGCTATCCCGCTCCCGCTCTGTGCGCTCCAAGCTATCTTGCTCCCGTTCCGTGCGTTCCAACTCTTTCTCTGTGCATCCGATCTCTATGTCCTCATCATTCCCTCCCTCTTGAGAAGTTTTCGCCCACGAAAATTCATGACCTGCATCAAAGGAAAGTAAATCAGCAACGTTAAAAGAACTAGACACGTTATACTCACCTGGAAGTTCGAGTCGGTAGGCGTTGTCATTGATGCGCTCGATAACTCAGAAAGGACCATCTCCTCTGGGCGCGAGTTTGGACTTTCGTTTATCTGGAAAACGCTCGGGCCTAAAGTGTAGCCAAACCCAGTCTCCCTCCTTAAACGTCATTGCTTTCCGGCCTTTGTTAGCTTGACGAATGTATTGCTCCGTCCTTCGAGCAATATTTTCCCGGACCTTTTGATGGAGTTGCTTAATGAACTCAGCTTTCTTTTCTCCATCTAAGTTCACTAATTCATCATTAGGTAATGCTATAAGGTCCATAGGCGTGATGGGGTTGAAACCGTAGACGGTCTCAAATGGCGAATGCTTAGTCGCGGAGTGTGAGGCCCGATTATAGGCGAACTCAACGTGTGGAATGCAGTCAACCCAATTGCCTAGATTTTTACCGATGGTGGCGCGCAGGAGTGTAGACAAGGTACGATTCACGACCTCGGTTTGTCCATCCGTCTGTGGATGACAAGTAGTCGAGAAGACGAGCTTAGTGCCGATCCTTTTCCATAAGATCCGCCAAAAATGGCTGAGGAATTTAGAATCCCGATCAGACACTATTGTCTTGGGAATACCGTGTAGTCTTACGACCTCCTTAAAGAATAGGTCGGCTATGTGCTTGGCATCATCCGTTTTAGCACACGGAATGAAATGAGCCATTTTGGAAAACTGATCGACCACTACAAAGATGGAGTCCTTATGTTGGATCTTAGGAAGTCCTAGGACAAAATCCATTGATATGTCTATCCATGGTTGCGTAGGGATTGGTAATGGCATATAAAGTCCATGAGGTTGTACTTTTGACTTAGCTCAGTGGCACTCGACACACTTAGCACAAAACCTCCTAACGTCTCGCTTAAGGTGCGGCCAAAAGAAATGCTCTTGCACGATGGACAACGTCTTATCTACTCTGAAATGGCCAGCTAAGGCACCACCATGAGCCTCACGGAGTATCACATCTCGCATTGATCCTTGCGGGATGCATAACCTCTTATCTCGAAAGAGATATCCATCATGTAAGTAAAATGGTCCATAAGCACCGTTCCTACATTCTTCTATGATGGATTTGAAATCGTGATCGGTCGAATACTGCTCCTTAAGGATTTCAAATCCTAACATCCGAACCTCCATGACTGATATCAAAGCATGTCGTCGAGACAATGCGTCGGCTACGACATTGTCTTTTCCCTTCTTGTATTTTATGACGTAAGGGAATGTCTCGATGAACTCCAACCACTTAGCATGTCTTCGCTTAAGTGTGGTCTGACCCTTAAGGTGTTTCAATGTTTCGTGATCCGAATGCACCACGAATTCCTTAGCCAACAAGTAATGTTGCCAAGTCTCTAAAGCTCTTACCAAAGCGTATAACTCCTTATCGTATGTGGGATAATTAAGTGTGGCCCCGCTGAGTTTCTCACTAAAATACGCTATGGGCCTCTTTTCTTGCATTAGGACAGCTCCTATACCAATCCCCGATGCGTCGCACTCTATCTCAAAGGTTTTGTCGAAGTTCGAGAGAACAAGACGGGTGCGCTAGTGAGGCTGTCCTTTAGAGCTTTAAATGCTTTCTCTCGTGCTTCTCCCCATTCAAATGTCACATCCTTCTTTATGACCGCGGTGAGGGGAGCTGCTAGACTACTAAAGTCTCGCACAAATCGACGGTAGAAACTAGCCAAACCGTGAAAACTACGCACTTGTCCTATCGTGGTAGGAGTCGGCCAATCTTTAATGGCTTTGATCTTTTCATCGTCGACTCTTAACCCCTTTGAGCTGATCACGAAGCCTAAGAATACGATTTCGTCCGTGCAAAACGAACATTTCTTCAAGTTTGCGTATAGGCTTTCTGTTCTAAGTGTGGTCATTACTTGTTCGAGGTGGGCAACATGGGCCTAAATGTCACATCCTTCTTTATGACCGCGGTGAGGGGAGCTGCTAGACTACTAAAGTCTCGCACAAATCGACGGTAGAAACTAGCCAAACCGTGAAAACTACGCACTTGTCCTATCGTGGTAGGAGTCGGCCAATCTTTAATGGCTTTGATCTTTTCCTCGTCGACTCTTAACCCCTTTGAGCTGACCACGAAGCCTAAGAATACGATTTCGTCCGTGCAAAACGAACATTTCTTCAAGTTTGCGTATAGGCTTTCTGTTCTAAGTGTGGTCATTACTTGTTCGAGGTGGGAAACATGGTCCTCCTCGCTTCTACTGTAGATGAGGATGTCATCAAAGTACACCACCACGAACTTTCCTATGAAGGTTCTCAGGACATGGTTCATGAGCCGCATGAATGTGCTCGGGGCATTAGTTAGCCCGAAAGGCATAACAAGCCATTCATAAAGACCTTGCTTGGTCTTGAAGGCGGTTTTCCATTCGTCGCCTTCTCTCATCCTTACTTGATGATAACCACTCTTTAGATCGATCTTCGAAAAGATTGTGGCTCCACTCAATTCATCAAGCATATTGTCTAGCCTAGGTATGGGATCCCTATACTTAACCGTTATATTGTTTATTGCTCGGCAATCCACACACATGCGCCAAGTTCCATCTTTCTTTGGCACTAAAAGTACCGGAACAACACATGGACTAAGGCTTTCTCGGATGTAACCTTTGCTCATGAGCTCTTGGATTTGCTTTTCGAGCTCTTTAGTTTCCTCGGGGTTCATCCTATAGGCTGGTCGGTTAGGCAAAGGTGCACCGGGTACGAGATCAATTTGGTGCTCTATCCCTCGTATCGGGGGAAGTCCAGCCGGTATCTCGTCGGGAAAAATGTCCTTAAACTGCTCAAGAAGTCGGCTTATAGAAGGGCTATCATGGGACGTTTCGGTCCTTATGCTCATGAGGTCCTTGAAGACCAAAAGAAGGACATTTCGTTCTTGTCGAATAGCCTTACCGACTTGACTAGTTGTGAGATAGAAATTAGCCTTCTTTGACTCGCTTTCTTTAGCTAGTTTGAGTTGTATCTCATGCACTTGAGATGGACTAAGAGGTGCTAGTACAACCTTCCTTTTGTTATGAACAAAGGAATATTGGTTGACTTGTCCGTCATGTATCACCTCTCTATCAAATTGCCATGGTCGTCCTAAAAAGATATGACCGGCTTGCATAGGTACAATGTCGCAAAGGACTTCGTCTTGGTACCTACCAATGCTGAACGGAATCTTGACCCTCTCGGTCACTTTAATTTCTCCGCTGTTGTTAAGCCATTGCAGCTTATATGGGTGCGGGTGTTTCTCAGTGGTTAGACCGAGCTTCTTGACCATGTAGGCACTTGCGACATTTGTACATGATCCACGATCGATTATCATACCGCATACTTTCCCTTGAACGGTACAACGGGTGTGGAAAATAGTCTCCCGCTGGGCCGTTTCATCCGGGTTGACCATAGTGCTAAGCACTCTCCTAGTGACGAGCAATTCGCCGCTATCCGGATATTCGATCTCTTCCTCGAGATCTTCGGCCTCTTCTTCGTCCATGGATTCGTATTCCCCTTTGTCCATAATGATCATGACCCTAGCATTCGAACAATCGCAGGACATGTGACCTCGCCCTCGACACTTATAGCAAATAATCTCCCTAGCTCTAGTGTCTTGAGGTGCCTCGAGGTTTGGTTTAGTTCGGGATGTTTCCAGGGATTTTCCTTTGTCCCGTGTGTCTTGCGGGGTTCGATTCTCATGGTTCTCTCGTCGAAAGGGTGTGGGAGGTTTAGTGTTCGCTGTAGTTCCACTAGAGTATGTCTTCGTCCTACTTAGCCTAGCGTTTTTACGCTTTTCTTGTTGTTTGACTTGCACAGCTAGGTGTAAGAGCTCTTGGAGGTCATGGTATGATTGTCGCTCAACTTTTCGAGCAATCTTATCTTGCAGTCCATCTAAGAACTGGGCCATCACCGTTTTCTCGTCCTCGTCTAACTCTAGTCGGCTCCTAATGTGTTCGAACTCTTCGAAGAATTCTTCTACCGACCTTGTACCTTGCGCTAGACGCCTATACCTTCTTTGAAGGTCTCGATGGAAGTGCGGAGGGACGTAACGTTTACGCATGAGATTCTTCATCTCATGCCACGTCTCAACCTGAGCATAATGTCCACGTCTCCGCTCGGTTACCTCACGATCCCACCAGGTCAAGGCATGCTCGGCTAATTGGGCGGCAACATATTGCACCTTCCTACGCTCCGAATAGGAATAACAGTCGTAAATGTTATCCATCCGTCGCTCCCAATCTAGATATGCCTTGGGGTCTACCTTTCCTAAGAAAAGGGGAGGTTTAAGCTTGAGCTCCGTTTGCCCATAATGGCCATGAGGTTGGTCTCGGTTTGGTCCATCTAATTCGGTGTCATTATTCCTACGGTTTTCCCTAACCCTAGCCCTTGGTAAGGTCCGTCTCATGGGTGGTTCATCCTGGTCCGAACACTCATCCTCTAATCTACCTCTCGGCCTAGGGGTTCTAAGCCTTTGCGGCTCGTCATAATCCGATTCATCCTCATGTACTCTAGCTCTTGCTCTAGGGGCTCTACGCCTAGGGGATTCCTCTCGTTCCGACACATCAACATATTCTCTCGCTCTAGGTCGGGGTCGTGACTCATATTCACTCTCGGTATTCACTATGGGATCCGGAACAATAGACCGCCTTTGCCTTGAGGGGCCAATATGTTCTCGTGCATCTATTTCCTTACCCGGTCTCACTTGAGGCCTCGACTCCTCTATCTTGTCTAGCCTATCCATAATCTGTTTAAGGGCTCGGAAGATATCGTTTTGGCTAGATCCGACCTCGGCACCATCATTAGACACATTGTTTACACTCATCGCTCCCTTATCACAAGAAAGAACGTGCGATTTAGATCTACAAACGACGTGCGAGTTTGGGCAACAATTGACGTGCAACAACCAATTCTAAATGTGATTCCAAGCAACACTCAAAACTTGCAATACACAACACTTATCAATCAATATATATGCCCTTAAAATAGAACCAAAACGCGATGCACAACAGACACGAATGATGATTATACCAAATGATGCAATCTGCGATTTCTATTCAGGTTTATGGTTCGAAATATCTCTAGAGTAGTTTTCTATCGATGGAGCAACAAATTAACAGTCTACAAGCAGCAATTTGATTGATCAAACACAAGAATTCTGCAACTTCTAAACCGAAAAAGGCACAACAAACAACACAATCAGATTATAGGAAGATGAACAGCCACTTTTGAGTTGAATTTCGATCTGAAGGTGAGGTGATTCGGTTTGCACAATATGTAGATGGATAGACGATTGAATTACGATCAAATGAAGATCAAATTCGTTTCAAAACGCAATCAATAGCCCACTCAAACACAAACAGAATTCTGCACACACCGAAACAGATTTTTCCGAACAATATGAGATGAAAACGTATAGAGATGGAAAGATATCACCGAGGGGAAGCTGCGACGTCCTGTGGATAGTTGAAGCTCTGATACCAAAATGATGTAAGCCCCGAACTCGTGGATATAGGCTGGCCCGAACAACGCAATGACCGGCACAAGTATTGGCACTCGAACTCACGTGTTTCGGCTAAGGATGTTGGATGGAGGGGGATGGGAATGTTAGCTCAATCACCGGCCTTGTGAGGCACTCGAATTCAAGCTAAAGATTCAGTGGATGAGATGGAGATAAGGAGGAAAGGTTTTCGGACAAACCGAAAGCTGGCTCGGACACACCGAAGCCCTTCGTCGGACACACCAACGGGGATAACGGTTTGGAGATTCAAACTCAACAAACACAGCAAGCTTAAGCTCGAAAATGGCAATAGATTTCTTAGGTAATGAGTTCTGAAAACTTACAAGGATAAATAGCAATCTCAAACATTTCCAACAGCTCTTAGCATTCAAAGCTAGATGAGCATGCAAGCTAGGTAATTAATGCTCTCTTAAGTACACAATATAGCTGTTGGATAATGACATAATTCTAATGTGTTTCTTCAGCACCATCATGGACCGAAATCTTCAATAAGCGGCGTGCATGGGCTGCTCCAAGACGGGCTGGGCTCATGTCCTTGAAATGAAGTTCGTCCATCATGTCGGAGACGAACAAGGTGATGCGTTCGCGGAGGGCACGCGCCTTGGCTCGAGTAAGGGGTGGATCGGGCCTGTGGTTTGGGCGTGTATGCCTTGGCCTTGGCTCAACTAGAAGTTCCCCATCACTATTGAAGATATGCTCGGCATTAGGCAGCTCCTTGCATTCCAAGCTATCCCGCTCCCGCTCCGTGCGCTCCAAGCTATCTTGCTCCCGTTCCGTGCGTTCCAACTCTTTGTCCGTGCGTCCGGTCTCTATGTCCTCATCAGGCTTAGTGACAACACTTGTCACTTTCCTCTTGCCCTTACCTTTGGAACGCTTCCTTTTGCTGGAACTATTTCCAACAACCACCATATCATTCTTCCCTTGGCTCCCAGCTTTCTCTTGGAATGGCATATTCAATTGATCAACCATCAATGAATTGTCCATGTCATCTAATTGCTCATGCAATTCCGAAGACATCTTTCCAAGCATCAAGCTGGACACGTCCAGATCATCATCCTCATGCTTCCAATAAGCATCAATGATCGATCCAGAAGTTGTGGTCAGAGGCTTATCCTTCATAAGGATAGATCGCATGGTGAGATTAACCAGATTCCCGCAACAGATATATACTACAGAAAAGGACAAACAAACAGATAGAAAATATGCAAGTCGCTTAGTACACTTACTAACACAGATAATAGATGCAATATGACAGGTTCCCACAAAGAAAAAAACCCTCAATGAGTTTCTAAGTGAGCTAGGATCCATATTTCACATGCTTCTGAGTCAGCTAGGGCATGACGCTCAAAACCATGCTATTTAGGTAGACAACACATTGTCAATCACATCCTATGTGATTCCTAGATGAGTATGGGATAGTGATACGCTATCACTGCATGTTCCTCATCCCATCCTTACCATCAGGTCCAAGTCCGACTTGATGACCTAATTCAAGCTTAACCATATTTGAGCTATGAGAATCACGATTTCTCCATACTGCCTCACCAAGATAATCAGGCACGCTCAGCTAGGGCATGACCCGTAACCATAACGATCGAGGCCTTGACAGTTGCTCTACTAATGGGCGGTAATAGCTTGAGATTAAAACATGAGGCTTCATTTGTCTTGAACACCAGGATACCTTGACTGGATTCAAGTCATTCCAGTCAAGTTGTTCTGATCAACTCAGTTGAACTGCTCTTAGTTCGATTGAGTCGTATATGTACAGAATTCCTTGGCCAAACAAAAATTGTTTGCCTTAGATTCGATACCAGAATCCTCTCAAGATCCAAATTCAGATATTTGATTCGAGACAACGATTGTACAATCAAAACTCTGAATTCTGGATTGTCATTGAGCTTATGTACCGAAACACTCTCATTGGTTAAACATTCATAATGTTCATCCAATGTGCATCAAAATCTCGGCTAAGACACTTGAAACGATGCAACAATTGCATCTTGTTGGTTGTAATGCTCTAGGATGGTCCGTGATATGACATTTTGACTTTGTATTGATTCATTGATTTATGAATGCATTACATTCCCGTTATATGATTGGCATGTTTGTTATATTTCGGTATCCTTGAATCATTACAGAATGATTCTAAACACCCTGGTCAGTTATCATTGTGGGAACAATGATGAATTAAGACTAGCATGATGTGTGATCGATGCATTGGATGCATTTCACAATCATGGGTACTCGTTGTGAACGAGTGACTGGATGACCCGCATGAGATTGTCACATGGACAGAGTCATGACTTGAATCTCATAAAGCGGTTCGTTCTTGGATCCTCAGACCTGAGATGTCTAGAGTATCTGATATGAGGAGTGGCGTGTCTTGACTGCGTCAAACGTCGTCTTTAACCGGATGATTATAACGGCGTTGATCAGACATGTTCACGAATCATATGGAGATAGTAGACATGCAATATGGGACTTGTCACCTCCTCAATAGGAGAGATATCGCTGGGCCCTCTCGTGGAAGTCGGACTATGAAAACGCGTGGCCACGCTATAGATGAAGTTGCATCTATTTTACTAGTCGATTTACCAAGACGAGAAAGCGGTTGAACTTGAAGGGTGACTCAAACCATGCCCTTGTTCAACATATGATATCGGGAGATAAAGGATCAGAACTCGAGCTGTTATTGCCTTGGTTAGATCACCTCTAACTCAATTCAACGTGGGTGGTCATGGCGTCTTGCTAGAGGCTAACCATGACTTGTGGTTCGGGAAAGGTTCCTAAAGTCACTACCACTTAGAATGGGCCTACAGGGTCACACACCATTAGGGATGGACTTATATGTGAAGTTTCAGAAAGGAAGACTTCAGACGCAGGAGACAGGCGGACCGAGAAGCGGGCAGGTCGGACCGAACTGACCAAGAAGGGTCTTGGTCCGGAGCTGACCACACATGGTCCGCCGGACCAAGCCTTCAGGCCAGCCGGTCCGTGGGCTTCGGACTAAGCTTGGTCCGCCGGACCAAGCTCCTGGTCCGGCGGACCGGGATCCGGAATATTTCCAAAATTCGAATTTTAGAGAGAGCCGACCTAAAACTCAGAGAAACACCTTAGAACCCTAGAGAAGCTGTTCTCTTGGATTTCTATTGTCCCGGGATTGGATCTCGTCTCTGGAGTTACCCTTTTCTTCACTAATCCTAGCAGATTCGTTCCAAACTGTTTGGAATCCTTCCCGTCGGTGTGGATACGTGTAGAGGAGCTGTACTTTCAGCTCTTGGTGATTTAGAACAGGCCCCGGATCGAAACAAACTTCAAGTCTCATCGAGAACGAGGTAAGTAACGATTCCCTCGGTGATATACACGATCTTTCGGGTTATGCGAGTTTGGTTGCGTGTGACGTTTGACTAGGTTTAGATTTTCCTTCCGCTGCATGAAACCTAGTAAACCAAACCCTAGATCGATATGATCGCATGCTAGGAACCCGTAGATAACCCAACACATTCAACACTTGACTCTGTCCGAGTCAAAACTCTGATCTATCGTTCTGACTCTTTCGAGTCAAAACTCTGACTCTGTCCAAGTCAAAACTCTGGGAGATCTCTCGTTTTGACTCGGTCGAGTCAACACTTGACTTTGTCCGAGTCAAAACTCTGATAGACACTTTTTGGCCGCGAGATCTAGGGTTTCACCCCGTTTCGGTGCGCCAACAAGCCGTCTTCGACCCCCAAACTCATCCATGCATCATTCAACAATCAAAATCATCAAACAAGCATAGATCTCATGTTTACATGCGTTCTAACCATTAAAACCATGAAAAACATGCAAAGATCTATGGTCTACATACATTCTAACAATTAAAATCATGCAAACCTGCAAAGATCTATTGTTTACATGCACTTTAACAATTAAAATCATGCAAACAAGCAACAAACACGGCGATATACAGAGAACCAGACTCTAATACCACTGTTGGGTTCCCTGCGAATTCCGAGCATGCGATCTCATCGATCTAGGGTTTGGTTTCTAGGTTTCATGCAGCGGAAGAAAAAGATCTAAACCTAGCCAAACGTCACACAAAACTAATTTGCAATAACCCGAAAGAATGTGTATATCACCGTGGGAATCGTATACTTACCAATTTACTTAAGAAACGGAAGTAGGAGTCGATCCGGGGCCTGTTTAATCACCTAGGACTGAAGTTACAGTCCCTCTACACGTATCCACACCGACGGAAAGGATTCCAAATGCTTTTGGAACCGATCTGCTAGGATCTGTGAAGTATATCAAGTGGGATCTAATCC